TTTGAAGAACAAAAATAAAAAAAGAATTGGATGTGCATATACATTTTCTTATTAACGAGGCATTATAGGTTATATTGCTCCTGTAGTGTATTAAGATTTAACATTTGCTGGCCTACATTCCAGAGGCATCTTGTGTTTATGTTTTGATATTTATCTTGTGTGTCAAATAGATTCATGTTTATAAAGAAGATCCTGCCAACCCATACTTTGCAGACAAAGGGAGCATCTTTAATAAACATTTTCTAAATTTACAGTGGTTTAGATTCAAAAAGAAAAAAAAGGTGCATGAATTGTTGGAAGCAAAATATTTTTATAGCTGGTCTTGAGAATTTTGGATTGTTAGATTAGTGATGGATTAATTGACATCTTTAATGGTTTCCATCTTTCTACTGAAAAGGTTTTATTGCATAGGATTAAGTGATTTATGGAAGTAATAAAAAATGAATAAAAAGTGAAAAAATATGAAACTGACTAGGCCAAAAATAATAGATTCTTTGTTTTTCTCCTTCATTTGGCTGGATAATTTAATGGAGTTCGTTAATCATTTGAGAGGAAACAAAGCAACTTTAATAATGATCCTAACAGGGAAATTTTACAATCGTTTTTGACACTCTACCCAGCGTATTCAGACCAAGAAGAGATAAACCCTTGATCTTCACATTTTATTAAGAACATACACATGTGTTTGAACATAGAATGCAGAGAAATTCAATTTTGGATTCTCACTCCCAATCATCCCTTTCAAAGTTCTTTGCCCCTCCATTTTTTAAATTTTAATTTAAAATAGCATGAAGTGAATGAAAAATCAATGGGTTAGTCTAAAAAAAGTAAAACATAAAAAATTATTAGTATTTCAGATATTAAATTTGTGCAACTAGAAGTGAAATAGACTGGCCTGTATAATAGATTTAACAATGTGAAAATTTTTAGCAATTTGTATTTGATTAGAAAATTAGATAAGTAATTATTAAATGATTAAAAAGTAAATAAATGAAATCCACTTAGCGAGTCCAAGTTTTTTGCAATGTAAGATGTGATTGTTCAAAATTAAGTTTGTCTGGCCTTAGCTAGAATATCATATTAATAGTCACATTATTTGATGTATGCCGCCTTAGAATATGATTTGAAAGTAACATTACAGGTAAATCTGGAGGTAGAGGGCAAGATTACACACACTTTGTAAGAAGTATGAAACATTGATAAAAAATTGAAACAAGGAAGAAGGAAAACATAGTTGTATTTACTTCCATGAAAATAAGTCAGATATTAGATAGGTAATGTAGTACAGTTGAGCTATCATATCTCGAACTGGTCTGATAATATGATATTAATTGGTATCTCAAACTTCGAATACCATGGATATGTCGAACTTAAAGCCCTAGCCCGTGCAACCACATATTCTTTAAGTATTTTACCCTTGATAACTCGAAACCTTAGATATCTCAAACTTTTTTAGCTCACCTGAGCTGAAAGCTCAAGTGAGCTTTTCTGATCACCCGTTGTCCGTCGCCCATCTGTCCGTCCGTCCGTCTGTAAACTTTTCACATTTTCAACTTCTTCTCAAGAACCACTAGGCCAATTTTAACCAAACTTGGTACAAAGCATCCTTGGGTGAAGGGGCGTTTAAATTATAAAAATGAAGGGTCAAATCCCCTTCAAAGGGGAGATAATCAAGAATATACAAAAATTGGGTGGGGTCATTAAAAAATCTTCTTCTCAAGAACCAGTGGGCCAGAAAAGCTGAAATTTAGGCACTGGAAGCATCCTGGGATAGTGTAGATTCTAAATTGTTCAAATCATGGCCCCCGGGGGTAGGGCGGGGCCACAATAGGGAATCCAAGTTTTACATTGAAATATGTAGTAAAAATCTTTCAAAATATTCTTCTCAAGAACTACTGGGCCAGAAAACCTGAAACTTATGTGGAAGCATCCTGGGGTAATGTAGATTATAAATTGTTCAAATCATGACCCCCAGGGGTAGGGCGGGGCCACAATAGGGAATCCAAGTTTTACATTGAAATATGTAGTAAAAATCTTTAAAAATCTTCTTCTCAAGAACCACTGAGCCAGAAAAGCTGAAACTTATATGGAAGCATTCTGGGGTAGTTTAGATTCTAAATTGTTCAAATCATGACCCCCGAGGGTAGGGCGGGGCCACAATAGGGAATCCAAGTTTTACATTGAAATATGTAGTAAAAATCTTTAAAAATCTTCTTCTCAAGAACCACTGAGCCAGAAAAGCTGAAACTTCAGTGGAAGCATCCTTGGGTAGTGTAGATTCTAATTTGTTCAAATCATGACCCCCGGGGGTAGGGTGGGGCCACAATAGGGAATCCAAGTTTTACATTGAAATATGTAATAAAGATCTTTAAAAATCTTCTTCTCAAGAACCACTTGGCCAGAAAGGCTGAAACTTATGTTGAAGCATCCTTGGGTAGTGTAGATTCTAAATTATACAAATCATGACCCCCGGGGGTAGGGCGGGGCCACAATAGGGAATCCAAGTTTTACATTGAAATATGAAGTAAAAATCTTTAAAAATCTTCTTCTCAAGAACCACTGGGCTAGAAAGGCTGAAACTTAAGTGGAAGCATCCTGGGATAGCGTAGATTCTAAATTGTTCAAATCATGACCTCCGGGGGTAGGGTGGGCCACAATAGGGAATCCAAGTTTTACATTGAAATATATAGTAAAAATCTTTAAAAATATTCTTCTCAGGAACCAATGGACCAAAAAAGCTGAAACTTATGTGGAAGCATTCTGGGGTAATGCAGATTCTAAGTTGTTCAAATCATGACCCCTGAGGGTAGGGCGGGGCCACAATAGGGAATCCAAGTTTTACATTGAAATATGCAGAAAAAATCTTTAAAAATCTTCTTCTCAAGAACCACTGGGCCAGAAAGGCAGAAACTTCAGTGGAAGCATCCTTGGGATAGTGTAGATTCTAATTGTTCAAATCATGACCCTTGGGGGTAGGGCGGTGCCACAATAAGTACTACAAGGGGGTGAAATCAGGTGAAAAACAGCAAGGCCAAAGTTACTCAGGTGAGCGTTGTGGCCCATGGGCCTCTTGTTCTTGGTCCCATCAAATTCAAGATTTTGAAGGTTGACTGTATAATGTCAAATTATAAGTTCATGTGCTGCATGTGCACACCAGAAGTCAAATGCATGATATCTATCTAATATGATGACCTATACACATAGTTGTATCAGTCTGTACCACTATATTGGTTTACTCCATGTCATTTTATCAAGTGGTTCTTCCTCCTAAACACAACATTATATGTACATGTAACTGCTACTATTATCAGCTTAATACGCTATTGGTACTTTAGTGGCATAAATTATATAGTTACCATTATATAGAAGGATGAGTAGTTTACATAACAATAGGTTTCAAATACTTGACCCAACAGCCCTTAATATTTATTTTTATATCCTGAAAAGAAAGGAAGAATACAAGTGATATTCTGAGGGTTATAGATATATGCACTTGGTGTAAAGTCCTTGATTTAAGATTGAAGTATAGTGCTGTTACATCAGGTGTGATTTTAACAAAGAAGGTACACATTATAACATGTACAGTGTCTCCTTGTGTATTGTGTCTTGAAGCTGCATGATTTTCAAAATGTTGTTATTAAAGTGCATATGCCTTTGCAAGTTAGCCTTGATAAATCTATGCAGCTTAGTGCTTGTGTTCTTACGTAACAGCAGAAAGTTCTTCCCCTCACTGCCTTTGAGTTTTGACGTACTTGGAAATTTTTATATTGTCAGTTAATTCAGTAATTATGTACTCACAGTACACTTAAATTGTCTAGAAAATTAGGACAGAGAATGGGTGAAGAATGTTCCCAATGAAAATTTTTTTTCTGTCATCTGGTTAACGCACCAATGTTTTAGACTCTACTGGGTATAGAAAAAGCACCTGTTAGCTCTGGCAGAAAAAAATCTCTTGTTAAGGAATTTTATCTCATTTTAGAATGCATTGTAACAACTTAAACTATCATAAAACTGTTTATAACTCCTTTACATACTGTTCAGACTTTTGAAGTTATTTACTTTTTTTCTTACACTCAGGTCAGTGCTGGACGGGAGTCATCAGTGGCCACTGACCTTGTTGCCACAAAACATGATTTCCGACACAGGAGCTTCCCCGTGATTCTTGGCCTAACTTTAAGGCAGGTAGCAAAAGGGGGAATCCAATCAACTAGTTACATAATTCTTACATGTAAGAAATAAGAGTACTGGTCATTGTTATTTTAATGTTTAATAACACAATATCCCATATTCTGCCATAATAGTAGTTATGAATTGAAGTATTTTTTCTTTGTTATTTTTATAAATGCTTTGGGTTTGTCACGGATTGTAAATAAAGAGTTGCCTTAAAAGAAATACTTAATGTTTTGTTTTACAAATGTATACAAGGATATTATACACTGTGTGAATTGATCTTTAATATGCATGCATTTATGAATCACCAAGGAAAAGATTATCGTATAGTGGAATGAATTCTAGAGAAATGAAATGTGCAGAAGAAAATAGTTTTCCTGGTTGTGTGGACGTAAATTATGGTGATTGGCATGTGGTCTTCTGTTATTACAAGTTATTTTCAAATCAATACCTTAAAAAATGATAGTTAAATAAATCCTTGAGGAAATTTAAAAATCGCTCTGAAGTGGGAAAATATTTTAGCATAAGTAAAATAACAGCATTGAGGACATAATATGTTCACTTTATGGACTAATTTTATTTCTACAATTTGGAGTGCTTTTGAAAAGGATTAAATCCAACAATTTGTCACTGAAAGATAATAAAAGATTTTAAACCAATTTAATACAGTTGGTCCCTAACTGTACTATAAAGAGGTGAGGTATATTTGTTAGTGAAGGAAACCTGAGATGTATTTATACATATCCCTATTATTATCAAATTGTCATCCTGCGTTGATTGTGTCTACTTTTCCTGTTTATGATAGCCACTCCACATTTTGTTACAGGGCAAGATTGTTCAAAAGGAAATTTACAACTTCTGCTATGGTAATGGCCAGTTGTGAACGTTGACAGTGAAAATCATGCCGAGGTTGCACCACAGGCGAATGTCCATAGAAACGGACAAAGTGGCGGTCAACGTCCATCGGTTAAAACACCGGCGAATGTCTGTGGAGAGGGAAAAAGTGGAAGTGGATGTGAAGCATCTTCATCCGCGGCGAAAATCGGTAGAGACGGACAAAGTAGAAAATGATCAGCAGCGATTGAAGCATCGGCGAATGTCCGTTGAGACAGAGAACCCAACTTTGCTTGGTTATCTGCACCGCCGGCGGTGGTCGTGGGATACTATACACCACATTAGTGATACCCTGCACCTGACCTTGAAGGGCAAGAGACGAGCCACACTGCCTGAGGAGGATATAGGATGTGACGGAGAGGTGGAGGAATCCCATCATGGGAGGTTTCACCACTTTACGAGATCTGTATCAATGACTTTGAGGAAAAAGAAAATTCCTGTACCTGCACTGGCTATTGTGGAGTTTGAAAATGGAAATGTCAAACTGGTAAGGGAGACATTAGATCATTGATATTTCTCATATTTGTATGTCTGTGAGTGCATGGGGTCTATAAGGATGTAAATAATGATATGATTTTCTTATGAAGAGAATGAATTATTCATAGTAAGTCATAAGTATCAAGTGTGATTGTGTTGATTAGTAACTGACAGTGCAATTCTCACATGGAAATGAGTTAGATCTAAAATAAAAATAAAAAGACAGGCATAAAGTACATTAATTCAAATAAGAGCATGTATATTGGGTTGACCCTTTTTAGATGAACTTGGTCTCAAAATGTCACTGTTAATTCTAGCTGCTATATAAAATATTCATTGAATTTATACTATCTAAAATAATTCCATGCTCCTAAATGAATAAGTACAATTTTTGACAATAAGATATATGGCTTTGTTATCTGAAAAGGAAATTAATGTGCACTTCATTTAACTTGATTATTGATTTTAAAGTTAAAAAAAAAAAATAAAAAACTCAATAAATAGATCAAATGTTTTTTAGTCAAAAATATGGAAATGCACTTGCATCTGAGTGGGTAATTGTCAGACATTAACAGTTATAGACACAGGAAATGTTAAATTACTGGATATCATGCTTGTATCACAATATAATTCTTACACAACATAAAAATCATAATCATATTCATCATCCTATATGTACAAGGCCATCAACAAGATAATAAATTGTAATTAAGCTTCAAATTCAGATAAGTTACGTAACTATTTATCTCCCAAGAAAGGCTAGGATTACAGTAAGTAATGTAATGTTGAAATTTCTGAAAGCTTCTTCTGTAAAAATAAAGCCAGTTGTTTTATTTGCCGATTTATTTTAATATTTTCCTTATCACTTAAAAACCTTTAAGCTTTAGTGAGTGATTTAAAATGTGTTGAATGTTCATGTACTTGGTTCATTATTCATAATTATAATAAATCAGATAGGGATTTTATATACTGGCATGTAACAAAAAGAAATGAAAGATAATTTTAGTGTGTATTCCAAAAATGTTGAATTTATTCATTGTGTTAGTTGGACATGTCTGTTGGTTGCAGTAAATGTTATACTACTATATACCAGTTCAATGTATATAATGAATGTTCATATATGATTCTATTCCAGTATATAACCATGCATTAACATGTTAATTAAGGTAAATTAATTTTATTTGAAAATGAAAATATTCAAAATATTATATCTCTAGAATTTTTTCAATGCCATAAACAATTCATTTATAAAAGTATAAAAGTAGACAAAAATGAGTGTGAAGATATTACTTAACACCCCCCCCTCCCCCCCCCCCCCCCCCCAACATATATACATACAAAATGACATGAATGATGAATGCTTGTCTTTTCAATACTCTATTGAGATGAAAGCAATTGAAGGGAAATAACTCTTACAGGTTCGTTCTGACAGTATATGTCTGGTAAATTATTTTATGACTGACCAGAGGTACAGAATTTCAGTAGATAGTAAATATTTGTCCTGGCTTTGATCTTAGGATTCTGTGGTCATTATATAATGTTTACTTATAACCTTCTCGTATTTATTGCTGTAAATTTCAGAAGATCTTGATTGTGTAACTTTATAAGTCCACTACTGACAATACAAGGCTATAGTAAAGTGTTACCTTAAGTTTGTTCATTAGTCATTTGTCAGTATGTCTGTCCATGGACCATACCTTTAGTTTGTCTGTGAAGCTAACATCATCATTTCAATGTGTCCTTTATGGCTGATGGCACTTTAGTTAAACTTGATTCAAATGGCCACATGCAGATAAATATATATGCTTGAAGCAAGATTGTCAATTCCTTCATTTATAAAATATCAGGAATAGTGTTCATTCAAAAATTTATTAGTTGCATATTGGTCGTGCAAAAAATCTGAATTTGGTTGAGGATTAGTAGGAGTACTGTAATGCTTAAGTAATACTTATAATGGTATGTCTGTAGTTTTTGGATAAGAACTGAATCAATATTGCTCTTAACTCAGATAAAGCACTCAGTTCAAATGCATCTGACTTAACCTTAGAATATGGCTTCATTTTCAGCCTCTTAACCAGTTAAAGTGATTGAACACTGTGCTTTCTATTCCACAATAAAATTGATAACCTGCATAGTAATTTGGATAAGTACTTCAAGTTTATCAGTAGAAGATAAGTGGTTGTTGAACCAGACACCTCCTTAGTTAATCAGATTAACATTTTTATTGTAGAGTGATTACCTTAATCCTAGTGTATAATTGTAAAATGATTTTTAATTCTGTTACACAATGATGGATCCTATCTTTGAATTGGAGGTAAGGTGGAATTTTTTTCTATTTAAACTTGGTCTAGCTAGTTTGCACATATACATTTCAACACCTGCAATAAATACCTCTGTGTTCTGGCTTTGAGGTCATTATTACATGACCTTACAGTAAACTACATACTTAATATTACACAATCATCTGCAAATTTTGAAAGTTGGCATTTCAGTTATTCATTGTACAGAGACCAAAAGGAAAATGGACCTAATGCTTTATATATATTCTTTGTTTTCCCTGCAAAGTGTCTGTTTTAAGATTTGAAATCTATATTTAAATTGCAGAAGTGCAGAGAGCTGCATGCAGGCTCAATAGATTAAGTGCTTCTGGAAATGATATACTGCGCTGTACTTTTGGTCTGGTGGATTCTGACAATTTTTGTGTCAGATTTTTATCAGAAATCCTATTGATCTCTTAGTTCTCTAAAAAAGTCACTGCTTGTTTGTAGATAATGCCCTTCTTTTTTTCTTCCCCAACTTTTAAAACAAGATACTTGACAACATTGTCAAAACAAGAATGAGGAATCTTCTTTCAAAAATAATGTCAGTTATTATGAGGAATAGCTGGGCTCAGAATTCAGCCATCTGTTACGTCAGATCTATATCTAAGACAGAGGCTGTTTGGCCAGTTTCCATCACCAATATTTGCTTGAAAATTTGTCCCCTCCCCCCCCCCCCCCAAAAGAAAAAAAAAATTTGAATTTTTATTTTTTTAATAAAAAAAACAACAACAACAACAACAAAAAAAACAAACAAAATAAAAAAATAACCAAATGATAAGTAATATTTGCTGATTGTTTTGAAGAATTGATTTTTGAACTTGTGGGTATGTATTATACATTCCTGTTGTTGTCAATTTTTTTGTAGTCCTTTGTTGTTTAATAAAAATCAGAGAATTCAAGAGATTTTTTAAAAAAATCAAATTCCCTATCTTTGATATAGCAAGTTGACTGGATTTGCAAAAATTTAAATGCTTTGTTTGAAGGATCAAATGAAAAAAGACTGATGTCCTTCTTGCATGGGAGTGAGAAGTTGAGAAAAAGATTATATTTTCTACATGTCAGAGATATATATTTTTATTATTTTTAATAACTTGAAGGAATGTTTATTGAATTGAATATTTAATCTGTATAAACAGTAAGTTTGATTAGAAGGTAATTACAGAACAATGGGTCTGATTAAGGACACTGATTTTATCTACACGAATAACATAATGAGAACCAATGAAAATGAAATGCAAACCCTTGTATACCAGTGTACAGAATTATGGGAGATAAATATTGTAACAATTCCCATTTTAATCAAATCTCCTAATCCAGTTAGGATAATCTGGTTTACGGTGATTATATACAGACATTTAAATTTTCAACAGAAACAATATTCACAGGGTGACACTTAAAGCATACTAATAAATACATCAATAACAAATGGTCAACATAAACTATTGGGAAACACAATAAATTCTGTTTATTGTCACCGTGATGTGTCCCCGACAGAGATCGGCCCGTCATGTTGTACCTGTCCACTGGCCAGTTTAGAGCTGACCCCTCACACCTTCAGGTCCGATATTCACGTGTTGACTTTGGTTAATTAGTCGATTCTGATCATGTTTTGGATTCTTGTTCCGAGTGTTTTAGTTGAGGATTCAGCTGTGATTTGTTGATTTTTTTTGGTGATTCTTTGGAATAATATTGAGGTTTGATTAACTTCATTCTAGGGATTTAGAGGATAAAGATACTCAATTTGTTTTGATTTTTGAAGTTTAAATTTTGTGAATTTATTTAAAAGTTCTTCAACAAGGATTTTTGGAAGATTTGCACATACAAGTTTGTAATTTTTCAAACTGGAAGACTTCTTAACTTTGATTTTGATTTGAATTTTCTGATTAAATAAAAACAGAGCTGTGAAAATTCAAACATTCAGACTTATAAATAAAGTGAAATTAATTTATCGCAAGCAGCTGCTACAGTTTATTCAGATGTAGAGGATTTGTGAAATCTGCCCTACTTAAGACATTAAAAAAAAGAAAGACAAGCTATGGGTAAGTTTGAAATTGTATAACAAATTTTAATTTGTTCTTTTCTCCTCCAGTTCTACATTTAGTATTGAAAAAAACATATGTGTTTTACTTATTCTGAATTCAAGATATCATTCATAAGATGTATGAATTAACGCAGTTATAAACTCATTGAAATGACTGTTGCATTGTATATTTAGGTCAACATAACCATATATTCCCTACTATTGAGTAATTAATTGACACAATGATTAATATTCGTGTATTAATTAGTGTTATTAATAGCAGAAGTCTCTAATTTAGTTATTTTTTCCAAGTTAGTGATATAAAAAGTGTTTTCGGCTAACATTAATTATTCTATATTTATTGAACATATACATTTACATATACATGTACATGCAAGTATACATGCATGTACATGCAAGTATACATGTACTAAAACATTACAATATACGTAATGGAAACTGAGGAGGAGTTGGGGGATAGGGGGGGGAGGGTGTTAAATAAGACAACAGTTTAATTTATTTAACATTCTGGTACATATAAGTAATATAAGTTTGGTACAAATTTATGTTACATCATTAGCATTTTCATGAATCTTTCTTGTTTAGGAGTCCCCCTTGAAGTCAGTTGTAAATAACTTGGCTAAAATGGCCAACCCATTAGGTATCCAC